ACTTCCCTGATGCCCTAGGCTGCGGCTAGACAGGCCCGGTACGCATGAGTATATGAGACGACTACCATCCTCCCGAGATTCCTGAATGGAAAGCATCAACCGCGCTTTCTCCGTAGTTCCCCCTCGCCCACTGGGTGGAGAGCGTTGATTCCAGCCGCCATGGTTTTTTACAACTTTCCACCCATGGCCCTTGCGGTCTGGGCCTGGTAGGTGTCTGGAGGAACCACGCGTGAGAAGAAGTCATAGCGGGTGTTGTCACTGAGCTCTGGAGCTGTGGAGGCGTAGCTCACCTGGGGTATCTGCACAGGAAAGAATATTGATAAGCTTATACGCTAGAAGAACCTTCTAGCGAAAAATAATGATGGCAAGTGAGTGAAGAATATAGGAACAAGACATAAATGGCATTAAGAAAAGAAACAATATAAATATAAAAACAATATAAAAGAACATGTATAAATAAAATAGAACAGGAGTGAATTACAGTGGAGCTATAGTGCAGAGCAAGATATGCTAGATAAATAGTCCAAAATGAAATTTAATAAAAGGAACTGGCACACAGAAAGGTCTTACACCTTGATATAAAAGAACTGAGAGTTGGAGAACCTCAAGTTTTCTGGGAGCTTGCTCCAGATATGCGGTGCATTAAAACTGAATGCTGCTTCTCTGTGTTAAGTTTTTACTGTGGGGACAGTAAGCAGGGTTTGGATGGTTCAAAACGGAGCAGCAATTCCTTGTCAAACAGGAAGCCAATGTAAAGATCCCACAAATGACATATATGATCTATTCTTCTCGTCTTAGTGCGGACTCTAGAGTTCTGAATCTGCTGCAGCTGTTTAAGCGACCTTTTAGAGAGACCTGTGACGACACCGTTAGAGAAGATAAACGCATGGACAAGTCTTTCTAAATCCTGCTGAGACTTAAGTCCTTTAATTCGTGATATATTCTTGAGGTGATCGTAGGCTGATTTTGTAATGGTCTTAATGTGGTAATTAAAATTTAGGTCAGAGTCCGTGACTACACCAAGATGTCTGGCCTGGTTTGTGGTGTTTAGATTATAAGAAGACTGAAGAAGCTGGGCACTGACTTTCACTCATTCATCTTTGGCGGCAAAAACAATTATTTCTGTTCTGTGGATATTACAAGCAGGTTTACAGGGCGAGGTATGAAGACATCCAACAAACTGTCCTCCTTTTAAAACTCAACACAGAGCTACTGATCCTGAACCCCCACCGAGCCCTTTAACACCCACCCTCAGTGCTCCCGTGTGCTACAGCAGGCTGGCCAAGCTGAGCTGATGAGCATGTCAGGCTTATGAGTACGGGTCACTTGCGAAACATAAATATGTCTCATCTTGGCATGACATGTTTTACACACTGCAGAACGTGCTTGCTGAACCGTCTTAAATAAAAAATAAAAAATTGTATTAGTTTTATTATATTTATTACATTTTCCACTGCTACAACACACACAGTAGTAGCTTTTTTAATAGTAAGACTTTATAAATGCAAGAACTTGCATCATGGCAGGCTTCTGTTGCTCCCACTGCTCCAAAGATTTTACCGACGCATGTGGTGGCGAAAGAAAAACATTACATAAGAAACTTGAATAGAAAAATATATAGGTCAGCTCAAGCACGAAGCTTTTCTTGAGTGACCAAAATTTTAGATTTTCTAGTGGTAGTTGTGTTTCTCAACACAGGGGACTATTTTCAGGGATTGCACCATGTCAGTTCTTGTAATAGGTAATTGTGTTTGTGTAAATGGAATTTTTCATCCCTATGGCACACAGTGATTCACCAAACAGAAAGCAGGGGTGTTTCCTGGTAATGATAAACAGTGTGCCTTTTTGATGAGGATCTGTCGTCATGTTTTTGTGTCTCTAAACAAAATGACGAGAAAGGTGCACTCAGTGAAACATGATCCTAATGAAAAACAGCCCCGTTTTCCCTCTAGAAGCCTCTTTGCCACATGCATTTCATTATCACAGACTGTAGACCTGTAGGCTGGCACACACACACATCCACCCACACACACATACAAGCAGATAACCCTTGATATTAAACATCTGACTTCAAGGCAACCTCCTCTCACCAAGATGAACACCACAGTAGACTAGATCACTTATTTGGGTAAAATATCAAAATAAAAATGTAACTGGAGTTTTATCTTGACTTTATCCCTCGGCCACAGATTGTTTGTGATACAATACACGTATAAAGAGAGAAAGCTGATTTAAAAACTTGCAGAAAGGTGGTTAGTTTGAAGGGATCTAATAAATGATCTAGGTGACACTAATGAGTAACCCGTCATTTGTGTAATGCATTTGGTGGCAGGAATTTTAAGGCACCACTAAAATGATTAAACATTGCTAACAGGGGTCAGTATTTAGTCACAAGCCATGTGTATAAATGCCCAAATGGCCTGGCACCATTATTTACAGGTGTTTGACTGCACTAGAAGGATAGATGTATAATACTAGACATAATCAAAATTCAGTCAGAATTGAGAGATACGGTTCTTCTGTATATAAATTCTGTCACTGTGTGGGAGCTAAAATTTGGAGCAGCTCACCAGAGGACATGAGATCCTCGCAAAGAGGAGAATGTTTATCATATTTTAGTAAAAATGTACAATTTGTATAAGGAGTAATACTGTATCTACTAATTAAATCTGCATATCAGTAATAAAGCAGTGACACAGCCGTCTTTGTTGTTATCATTATTTGGGGTTGGCCATGATCACTATGAAAACAAGTTTTAACTTTTAGTGTTTTGCTTTAATGTCATGCTCTAATTCTATACATATCACTATGTTTATGTTATATGCTATTTATACTTTGTTTTACATTAATTTTGTATTTTGTGTTATGTTGGATTGAATCTGTCACCATGTCCCAATTCCATACTACATATGATTCTAAACAGGTTTTTAGTACGTACAGTAGTGTGTATCAACAAAATAAAGTATGCTTAAAGCAAATAGCACGCATATTAAATACAGTCCATCTAAGTAACAACCTACTTTAACACTAACATTAATTAGCGACAGCTGATATGATTTTAACCAGTCAAAACGACTTTCAACGTCCAACTAAAATTTGCGGATGGTTGTGGAACAGCTTGACAAATATCTTGGAAAACAATAAATAAGTATTAAATCTTAAAGGACCAGTGTATAGGATTTAGAGGCATCTAGTAGTGAAGCTGCAGATTGCAACTAACTGGATTTGACGATGTGGGAATGAGAACAGGCTGTGAAGCGTGTAAAAATGAACTATGGCGGCCGCGAAACTTGCCAAATACGTAAATGTGCTACAGCCAGTGTTTAGTTTGTCTATTCTGGGCTACTGTAGAAACATGGCAGTTAAACATGGTGGACATACCTATGCATATTATATTCCATTTTCGCCAATAGATAATATTTCACACTGGATCTTTAAGGAAAAACATCTTATTGTCTCTCTGCAAAGTTTAATAAGCTTTCAGTTGCAGTTTGACAGAAATCCAGTGTCACATACACTAAAATAGTAGACTACAGCAGTATGTAGTACATACTTTATGGAATTAATATGGATTTAGGACACAGCTTATGTATTTTTGTTTTTTGACTATGTGACTATACTGTAAGCGTGTTATGTGTAGGTTGCTTTATGACAGTAAAACCAAACCAAACCAACAGGTTTTATATATAAACCTCATCAAACCTCATATTTAATTTGTTTCCCTCTGTTTGTTTCATGGGGTTTGTTTGTGGTATTTTCAGTCTCTCCCTCCACAGCTTTATCCATGCTTGTCCAAGCAACCCCAGCTTGGTTTGAAATGAATTCATAAAGACAGGTTAGAGTCGCTGAGGTACTTCACTTCAGTACCAAGACCTTAAGATGATTCCCTGAGCAAGCCTCAGCAGGGGAAAAACATGAAATAATGATATAAATAATAATGGAACTTAGGGTATTCATGGACTGGAATTTTTAAGAGCTCACCTAACAAAGCTTAACATACAACTAATGGGTTTACTGAGGGATTAAAAAATACTGAAGATTTTCCAGTAACTAAAAGCTCCTTGAGAATTGTTGAGTATTTTCACAACAACTACTTCTCTATTTAGCAGTGTTGGTGGCATTTCTAATAAGGTGCACAGGCATCCCTGTAGACACTTTTAATACTTCAGAATGCTTTGTTTAGTGGAATTGACCCCACACACAGTTTCTATGTCCCTGTAATTGAAGTCATTGCTTTGTTATGTTATTGTAATTTTAAAAATGGTTCCACTCATTAAGGACTTGTTTTTTTTGCCAGGTGTGTTGCTCTCCTCCTCATCCAGCTGCCCTTTTTTGTTCCATCCCATAATAAAGGATCACAGAAAGACAGACTGACAGCTAAATTAGACAGATGGATGAACAGAGTATGACTACAAGCCCTGCAAAATAGCCACATGGACCTGCACTGCACCAAATGATCAAGGGATTCTCCTAATTATATTGAGAGAAACCTGCTGAATCGAAATAATTCTTAAGTATGCAGAACATGATGCACGGTTTGAGGTCTAGGGCATCTTGTTATTTACCTCGCATCTTAAATGAGCCAAAGTGAATTATTTGAAGGAGATCTTCCGACAGAAAATAAAACAGAGTTAAGAGTGAACAAGTATGTTCCTCTGCCTGGCATGTGACTTTCTCAGCTATGACACCTAATGTATTTTTTGCTGAGGGTTCTGTAGAGCACGAAACTGTTTAATTGTTGTGACTATTAGCAGGTACAGTTTGGGGCCAAAAATAGCTAATTTCTGTAATATTGTGTCAGTTGCTGTGAAGGTGACAAGTTGCTGTTTGCTAAGAAAGATTTGCAAATCTTCCATCTTGACTATAATACTGCATGATCTCACTCATCAACCTCAGTTTGTGATTTTAGCATTTAGCACCTGAGTTTATGAATGCAGTGGGAAAACACGTCTTACATTAATTTTAGACTTAACATGGATGCAATTCAGTGAGAATCTGACCCCAGTAGAATGTGATATAATATCCTTTTGAATGTAATATGTGTCTTAATTATCTCTCAGTTGCACTTCAAATCACATTTAAGTCCCAAGACTTGAATTTACTTCAACAGTAATGCCTCATGATACAATATAACAAACTATTTTCTGAAGATGCATAGATTTTTAGGTGTACAGTTTTGTGCATCAGTCCCATCCGGACTATCTCTGTGATTCTCACTCTGAAATGCCTGATTTTGCCCGGATGATATCAAGGAATTCAATAGTAACAATTTGAAATGTCCTAGGATCACCTTAGGTCC